GCAGGGGTAGGGGCCTGGGGACCATGCTTTCAGGGGACATCTAGGTCAAATGGCATAACAAAGCTTATTAAGAAAGTGTTCTGCATCCTACTTTGGTGAGTGATGTCTGGGGTCTTTTTTTTTTTAATTGTTGTAATTAAATGAAGTTTACATTTCAAGTTAGTCTCCCATAAAAATTTTTTTTTTTTTTTACATACATTGTTATGAGACGCTAATTGCTCACCCCATTCTGCAACAGCACACTCCTCCTTTCTGCCCCTGATTCCCCATGACCATTCATCTAGCTCCTAACCCTCTCTGCCTTCCCATCTCACCTCTGGACAGAAGCTGCCCCTTTGGTCTCTTGTCTCTACTTGACTAAGAGGCACACTCTTCACGAGTATCACTTTATGTCCCACAGTGCAGTCCAATCCCTGTCTGAAGAGTAGGCCTCGGAAATTGTTTTAGTACTGGGCTGATAGAGTGTCCAGGGGCCACGCTTTCCGGGACGCCTCCAGTCTCAGACCATTAAGTCTGGTCTTCTTACTAGAATTTGAGTTCTGCACCCCATCCTTCTACTGCTCCATCAGGGACCCTCTGTTGTGTTCCCTGTCAGGACGTTCATTGGTGGTAGCTGGGCACCATATAGTTCTTCTGGTCTCAGGCTGATGAAGTCTCTGGTTTATGTGGCCTGGCGTCTGGGGTCTTAAAAGCTTGCAAGCAGCCATCTAAGATGCATCAGTTGGTCCCAATCCACCTGTAGTAAAGGAGAATGAAGAACACCAAAGACACAGGGAAAGTATTAGCCAAAGAGACAAAGAGGGCCACATAAACCAGAGACTTCATCAGCCTGAGACCAGAAGAACTAGATGGTGCCCAGCTACCACCAATGACTGCCCTGACAGGGAACACAACAGAGAGGCCCATATGGAGCAGGAAAAAGGTGGGGTGCAGAACTCAAATTCTAGTAAGAAGACCAGACTTAATGGTCTAAGACTGGAGGAACCCTGGAAAGCATGGTCCCTGGATTCTCTATCAATTAGCTCAGAACTAAAAATTTCTGAGGCCAGCTCTTCAGACAGGGATTGCACTGCACTGTGGAACATAAACTGATAGTCGTGAGGAGTGTGCCTCTTAGCTCAAGCGGATACAAGAGACTAAATGGGCAGCTTCTGTCCGGAGGTGAGATGGGAAGGCAGAGAGGGTTAGGAGCTGGTTGAATGGACATGGGGAATCAGGGGTGGAAAGGAGGAGTGTGCTGTCACAGTATGGGGAGAGCAATTAGGGTCACATAACAATGTATGTATAAATTTTTGTATGGGAAAAAATAAAAAATATAATGTGAGCCTCATATGTAATTTAAAATTTTCTAGTAGCCACATTAAAAAAAAAGTTACAAAAAAGAAAACAGGTGAAATTAATTTTAATAATATATTTTATTGAACCCAATATGTATAAAATGTTATCACATCAACATATAAGAATATAAGAATTATTTTTCATACTAAGTCTTCGAAATCTGGTGTATATATTTTACACTTAAGCACATCTCAATTTTCATTAAAAATACTTGATCTATATTTGTATTTCATAAAATTTATCATTAAAAAGGTAGATTCACACACTCAAGTTGTCCCAACACACATGAACGTTTTCCAATAACTAAGTGCCCTGCTTTCTCCAGGGACCCGCAGTCCCTTAGTCCTGTCCCAGCGCTCTGTTTCCTTGCTAGCACCTAGATGGTCTGTAGTTATGTCTGCCTCGGTCACTGCTATTATTCTCAACACCTGGAACAGTGCAGCTAGATCAGCACCCAATATATATTTGTTGAATAAGCCTATAATGTTGTCGTTAGCTGCCACTGGCCCCACTCACGGCGAGGTCATGCACAACAGAACAAAACGCTCCCAGCTTCTGCAGCATCCCCATTGGTCAGCTGTGGACCGGGCTGTTGTGATCCATAGGGTTTTCACTAGCAGATTTTCAGAAGCAGATAGCCAGGTCTTTCTTCCAAGGAGCCTCCGGGTGGACTTGAACCTCCAACCTTTCGATTAGCAGCCAAGTGTTAACCATTTGCACCACCCAGGGGCTGCAAACTTAAACAATAAAAAAAAAAACCCAAATCAGTTGCTGTTGAGTCAATTCCAACTCATGGTGACCCCATGTGTTATAGAGTAGAACAGCTCCATAGCGTTTCCTAGGCTGTGATCTTTACGGAAACAGATTGCCAGGCCTTTCTTCCGTGATGCTGCTAGGTGGGTTCAAACTGCCAACCTTTAGGTTACAGAATGAAGCGCAAACCGTTCGCACCACCCAGGGACCCAAACCTACAATGAAAAAAAAAAAACTCGCTGCCGCTGAGTTGATTCCGACTCATAGCGGCCCTATAGATAAAGAATTCTTCCCTCTCTCCTTAGATAACCTACTGCTCACTGCTCTACATGGAATGAAGATGTCAGAGAAGGCGGAGGTCTCTCCCACTCTTCTCAGAAGTTGAGGGGCTGAGGGGTCACTTCTGATCCCACCACCCTTCTCTCACCTGGTCTCACGGCCAAGTCGCACGCACACGCACGTGCGTGCCCAGCCCACTCTCTTCGCTCAGTCCTGACTTCCCCAGGGCTGCTCTGAAATGATGCCAAAGCCAGCAGGGCTCACTTGCGTTCCTAGGTCACGTTTCATAGCTGTTTGACTGGTTACTCTCAGCCCCATCAGGAATTTCCAGTGCTATATAAATGCTCACCAGGACCAAGAAAAAACAAAACCATGTCCTGCAGGATGAAGTGGACCTGGAGACTCCCTCCCAGCAATCCAAGCTCTCCTTGGTCCAGTCTGATCTTGTTTCCTACTCAACTGCCAGCCAAACAACCCGTGTGCTGTTCCTGAGTCCTTGCCTCTGTTCACACCATCCCTCACTGACCTTCTCCAGCTCCTGTCCATTCTGCAAGGCCCAGCACATACTAGTTCCTCCATGAAGCCATTCCACCTGCTTCTGTCCGAGTTCTCTGGGCCTCTCTGCTGCCTCATCTTTCTCCATCTTGCCTGCTGCGTGCTCCTTCGCATTCTGGACTGTGAGCTCACCTGCCCAGACCCTACAGCAGACTGCAGGGGGGACATGGCTATGTGAATCTTCCTTGGATGTGAAGACCAAGTACTTCACGACCCGCACCCCTGCCCTGGGCATGATGCAGGCCAGGGGCTACAGAACTTGCAAAGGACAATCATAACATGTAATCATCTTAAAACAGAAAAGTAAAAATGTTCACTTCTCAAAAGGGAATAAAACGTTCTCATAAAAAGTGGGAAAAAGAGATGGCAAAAGTGGTTCTGAGTTATAAAGCCACCACCCGCCTGTCCACTTGTCACACTGTGGTGGCTTGTGTGTTGCTGTGATGCTGGAAACTATGCTAGCACTATTTCAAATACCAGCACGGTCACTCATGGTGGAAAGTTTTCAGTGGAGCGTCCAGACTAAGACAGACAAGGAAGAAAGGCCTGGTGATCTACTTCCAAAAATTAGCCAACGAAAATCCTACAGATCAGAACAGAACATTTCTGACTTGCTTGCTTTGGACACATTATCAGGAGGGATCAATCGCTGGATGAGGACATCATGTTTGGTGAAGTAGAAGGCCAGCGAGGGTGAGGGAGACCCTTGGTGAGATGGATAGGCAAATAGCCTCAATGGTGGTGACTCAAACATGCTGGTGATTGTGAGGATGTCATCTCCTTCTGTTGTACACAAGATTGCCATGAGTCGGAGTCAACTCGAAGGCAGCTAACAATAACAACAAAGCTGTAAGGACAACGGCAGTGCTTCCCCTGATAAAAGTACCCCGAGCACAGGTCCAGGAGGTGTGAGACAGTCTGGGATGCTGCCACCTTTTGGCCTGTCTCAGGTTATTGGACAGTTGGTATAAATTCCCTCGAAATAATGTCAGTTATTTCTCAGGCCATCTCCTGTGGAGATCATACACAGTCTTAAATCCTGGTGAGTCTTTCTATCCCTTGTATAATGAGATTAAATTAGAATTGTGTAACTGTTGAGTAAGCTAATTAAAATATAAAAGAACTATGATTTTTCTATCTGTTTTCCATCGAGTGATCAAAGATCAAAGGTGTCACTTTTGTACATTACCAAGGACCAAAGTTGGGGCCAATTATACACCTGAAAAAATGCAGGACTTGGCTACCAGGGGCTTTGTAAAAGGATGTGTTCCAGGATTCCACCCTTTCCATCCACACTCAGCGTCCTTTGTGGCCTGATGCCCTGGCGCTCACCAGCACACCCAGCACAGAGAGATGGCATTACTGCCAGGGAGTCCCACAGAGAGTTGAGAGGCTGGGATATCCGACCCGAGTGAGGCAGAACCACGGCCCCTGGCATCCTTCTCGGTGTTACCAGTGAGGCAGGGACCCTGCCTGGTCCCAAAGTCAGGGCTCTCAGAGGGTGAGGAGGGGGTGCTATGTGGTCTCAGAATAAATTACTTTCCCAGGAGGATAGGGAAGGGCTGAGGGTGAGGGCAGAACAGGTTTTGTTACTAGAGAATGAGTACTAAAGAAGAAAATCCAGAGCTAACGCACAGTTATCATCACTGCTGCTTCGATCAACTGGTTCATCCAATTAAACTGACTTATCTAACACAGAACACGAGCAACCCCGCCACCTGTTCCCTCCAGCCATTTCCCAGTGACAGAGCTATGAGCCTAGAGACAGGACAGTGGGCCAGGTCACCATTAAACACCCACCAAAATGGGTCTCACAGGCCCACCTCGGTGGGAATGGGATCAGAGGATGCGAATCAGCTAGGAAATATTTCTGCAGCATATTTAAAATAAAGCAAAAATGTAAAAACTGACTAAATTTCTCAGTTTATTTCCTCCTTGGCTCCGCGGGGAGAAACACAGCAGCACTCAGTGGCCTTTTGTGATTCCCCTTTCCACACGGCTGGCGCTTGTCTTGGGCAGGAGGAGCGGCCCTCCTCTTTCCTGTGTGAAGCAGACCTTTCTCGCCAATGGGAGCCTTAGTCCAGGGGCTTGTGCAGACTCTGGTGGGTGTTTGGAGGAGGCTTCAGGTCACAGTAGCCGAAACTGCAGCCATCCAGCATGTCTCCCTGAGATATGCCGTCGAGGCAGGGGTCCTTGCCCGCTCTGGTATTGTCCCACATGCCTGTCCTCTCCAGCGTGGCCTGAAGAAGTTCTCGGATTCTTCGGTTTTCCTTGGAGGTGGACTCCCAAACAACTTCCAGCTCCCCTTCCATTTCTCTGAGAACAATCAACAAAACAAAGGAAAGGTCCAAAATAGCACGATTTTAAAGGGATTTAACAAAGGTCTTGTGATTCCTAAAGCAGTAAGAACTCAAATGAAAGAATGCTTAACATCCAAGTACAGAGCTCACTGTGCTTGGGTTCTGAAGCAAGATCTGTCAAAGTTAAATGGAACACCAAGGTCCTCCTGGATATAGAAAAGAAGACAAAAAAAACCAAAAACCAAACCCATTGCCATCGAGTCGATTCCAACTCAGAGCAACCCTAAAGGACAAAGTAGAACTGCCCCATAGAGTTTCCAAGGAGCACCTGGTGGATTCAAACTGCCGTCCTTTTGGTTAGCAGTTGAGCTCTTAACCACTATGCCACGGGGCTGTCAGAGTTAAATGGTCCTCCTGGATATAGAAAAGAACACAAAGGTACAGGTGAACAATTTCTTACCTCTTCTATCTAAGTTCTGCCTTTTCCTTTCTTTCGGTAAGGGTGCTCGGATTCTTTGTTCTCTCATTATTTTACAATAACAACATACAATAATTGGAGCAGCTGACCTAAGCCTACTGCACAATGGCCTGGCTGTGGGTGCCCACCCAGCATGGACCCTGTAGGCCCTCCCCCATGTCCCCTTTGCCTGCACTGTCACCCGGCCAACACTGCGACTTTTCATAGGTGCTCATCTGCATGGCCTGATGGGCCCAGACGCAAAGGGTGAGTTAGGGGGCAAGGCGGGGGTCTTAGGGAAATGGCGAGTGGGGCCTGTAACTGAGGACTTGAAGAAGAGTGGTCTAGACCGTGTCCAGGAGGGTGAGTGCCCAGAGGGAGACAAGGCCTGTGGGAAACGGAAAGGGTGGCAAAGCAGTGTTTCCTGAGAACAACTCTGTGCCAGCCACCATGTGGGATGCTGGGGAAACCGGGGTGGACAAAGGTATCCATGTCCTCACAGGGCCATGGAGGAACAGACCAGGATACCAGCCACCACCCCAGAGGACAGTGAACCCCACTCGGAATGTGGAGAAGAGAACCTCAGGCCTCAGCCCAAGAGAAGGAGAGGGCCTTGTCTGGGGTGGTGGGATGGGGAGACCAGCTCCTTAACAGATATTGCCAGATGATTCTGGAAAATGTTAGCAACCAAATGAGCAGGTGGACTTAGGAGTCATATTCAAAAAGGAGGACACTGAGGCTCAGGGAGACCAGTAACCTGCACACTTGTCCAGGGTCACTTTTCTTGTGAACTGTTAATGGGTGTGAGAGAGCCCAGAGTCGAGAGCCTGTATTGATTCCTTCCAAGGTCCACTCAGTGTCAAGAACTGTTTAATTAAACTATGTCTAAAAAACTCCCTGGACTTCTGTTGCTGGCAGAAAACACCCAGATGTTTGACAAATCATAGAAATATGTTTAAATGTATGGCTAAACTCAAAAGAAAAACAGGAAATCCCTAAGGAAAAAAGAAGACTAAGCTGCAGCCACAGACTTGCACAAACAAAATGTCGGTGTTGCTCTGAGAACAAAAGCCAACGTCAGAAACCCAGAATTGTTTGGAATGAAGACTAGGTCTTGGGTTCATGCAAACTGGCTGTGGCAGAAAATCCAAGGGCTCCTCATATTTGTCTTTCTCTTCTTCTCCCTAGAAACACTCTAAACTATACGTCCCAGCACTAGACAGTGAAGTAGAAGCACATGAAGGACCCTCAGAGAGAGGCTGAATGGTTGAAAAATCTTCCGATCTTCAAAAGAAACTTGCTCTGAAAGGCTGAAAAGAGTCTCCTTGGAGACTAGCTACTGGTCTGTTCTCACATGGATCGCACAGTTTGAATCTACACTATTCCCCACGATTGATCAGGAATCCCAGGCCCTGACTGAAGTGAACCAAGAGTAAAAAGATATTTTTGAGACAATCAGGGAAAAAACTTAATGGATGGGTTAAACAGCACACTGGACACAGCTGAAGAGAGAAATTAGTAAACCAGAATATTGAGCAGAAGAAATTACCCAGAGTGGAGACCAGGAAAACAGATAATATTAAAGATCTACTGTTAAATGTGGTGACTGCATTACATTTTTGGTTTTTTAAAAAAGTCCTTAAAATTTTTTTAAAAATCACTACTATAGTCTATTAAAAATAATAATAAAATTAAAGTGGCTTAAAAGATTAAAATGTTCTTTGGTGACCTGGAGAAAAACATTCTCCCATTCTCAATCCAAACTTTCAAGATTCCACAGATTAAATTAATCCAAATATGAGCTCATAATAAGAAATTACTATGTAAAAAATTACACAAGGAAATAAGCAAAACAGAGCAAGAGTCAACAAAACAAGATTTATCATGCCTAGAATATAAAATGGCTATGAATGAAATAGTAAAAGAAATAAACAATGTATTAAACATAAGCAAACACCAAGAACTTATTTTTAAAAATTACTAGGCAGATTTTCAAAAGAACCAAACAGAACTTCTGAAAATGAAAAATATAGTTGCTGAAATAAAAAATTCAGTGGCTGGGTTAAATAGCACATTGAACACAGCTGAAGAGACAGTCAGTAAACAGGAATATTGAGCAGAAGAAATTACCCAGAATGCAGACCAGAAAAACAAAGAGATTAAAAACAAATATAAAAAGATAAGGCAGGCACATGGAGGAGTCAATGAGAAGGTCTAACATATATCTAATCTACGTTACAGAAGGAAATTTAGAAAGAGTGGAGGAAAAGACATATTTGAAGAGATGATGGCAGAGAATTTTCTAGAACTGAAGAAAGACATAAAATCACAGACACAGAGCATAACTTATACCAAGTAGGATAAATAAAAGGAAATTAATAGACATATAACAATGACACTGCAGAATATGAGACAGAATCTTAAAAGCAGTCAGACAGAAAAGACAAAGTACCTATTTTCAAAAAATGACAGAAGACTTCCCAACAGCAATAATGAAATCCAGAAGAGAGTGAAATGTGCTGAGAGAAAATGATTTTCAAGGTAGAATTCTATACCCAGCAGAGATTATCTTTCAAGGATGAGCGCAAAATGCAGACATTTTCAGTTAAACAAAAACTAAGAAAAGCTTACTCCCAATAGAATCTCACTAAAGAAACTTCTAAAAACTGCACTTTAGGAAGAAGGAAAATAATCTGAAAAATAAGGTCTGAGATGCAAGGAAGAAGAGTAAGCCAATAAACTGGCAAACTGTGGCGGACATCAAAACAAGCAACAACTAACAAAAAAAACTGGTAATATTTAATTTCTGGGACTAAAATGATATAAAATGGGATTTTTGTTTTTCTTTTTCATATCTATATCTAATAATAGACAATAACAGCACATAAACTTAGTGGGAAATAATTAGATGAGATCATTCTAATGATCCTGCATTGTGGGGGGAAAATGTAGGATGCTGATTAACTTTAGTTTTTTTTATGTTAAGTATCCATGGTCAAATTTCAAGGGTAACCACTAAAAAATAGAAATAGAATGTATAACTTTGAAATTATTAGAAAGAAAAAATGGGGATAAGAGGAGAAAATTTTTAAAAAATCATTTTATTAATGCAATTCTAAAACTCCCATCTAGCAAGAAGCTTTATATTGACCCAAATTTTTACAAAGTGACTATTTATGGTGATAAGAACGTCTGTGACTACTAATACATGTTAGATAAGAATTTGGTTCACTTGGCATTACGAAGCATCTGGCTTATGAAAAACATAAAGAGATACCTGCATTCCCATGGCATTAAATATACTTGTCTTACTGTCACATGCTCCCAATGAGCAGAACTGACCACTCAGCCTGCAGCTATCCATGTGACATCAATGTTAAATCTATATACCTGCAATAATAAAGAAACCAGGTATGATTTATGGTTTATTTTTTATCATTTCCATTTTGAGAGCTCTTGAATAGTATATGATTTCACGTAAGTAACTGGAATCACATTGGTACATCTCCTGACGAGGTTTAAGAAACATCATTTTAGAACATGAGGGTATATCATTTATCTATCACAAGCCTCCTTTTTGTCTGAATTGATTTTTTTAAAATTTTGAATTTTTTTAATAAAAATTTTTATTTTGAGATAATTGTGAATTCACATGAAATTATAAGAAATAATACAGCAAGATCCTGTGTACCCTTTACCCAGTGTCCCCCATGGTAACATCTTGCAACATATTGTACTATATTTGTACTACAGGACCGTTACTATAGTACAATATCACAGCCAGGATACTGACATTGATATAGTCAAGATACAAAACATTTCCATCACCACAAGGATCCCTTCATGTTCTCAGTTTGCAGCCATGCCCACTTCTCTCCTACTCCACCCCCTCCTTAAACCCTGGGAACCAAGAGTCTGTTCTCTATTTCTAAAATTTTGTCATTTTAAGAATGTTATATAAATGGAATTATACACTATGCAACCTTGTGGGATTTTTTTTTTCTTTCAGTCATTATAATTCCCTGGAGATTCATCCAGGTTATTGCAAGTATCAACAGTTTGTTCCTTTTTATTGTTCAGGGGTATTCCATGGTATGAATGTACCACAGTTATTGAACCATTAACCCACTGAAAGATGGGTTGAAACATCTGGGTTGTTTCCGGTTTGGGCCATTACCAGTGAAGCTATTATCAACATTCATGTACAGGGTTTTGTGTGAACATAAGTCTTCATTTCTCGGGGATAAATGACCAGGAGTGCAACTGTTGGGTCCTGTGGTAGTTGCATACTTAAGTTTTTTAAGAAATTGCCAAACTTTCTAGACTGGCTGTCTCATTTTATATTCCCACCAGCAATGTATGAGTGATCCAGTTTCTCTGCATCCTTGCCAGCATTTGCTGTTGTCACTTTTTATTTTAGCTGTACTAAGAGGTGTGTAGTGATACCTCATTGTGGTTTTTATTTGCATTTCCCTAATGGCCAGTGACGTTGAACATCTTTTCATGAGCTTATCTACCATCTGTATATCCTCTTTGGTGAAATGTTTGTTCCAGCATTTTGACCATTTTCTAATTGGATTACTTATTATTTTTAATGTTGAGTTTTGAGAGTTCTTTATATATTATAGATACTAGAACTATGTAGGATACATGGTTTGCAAATATTTCCTCCCAGTCTGTAGCTTGTCTTTTCATCCTCTTAACAGAGACTCCCACAGAGCAAAATTTTAAATTTTGATGAAGTCTAATTGATCAGTTTTTCATTTTATGGATCATGCTTTTGGTCACAATCTAAGAACTCTTTGCCTAGCCCTATATCCTAGAGATTTTATCCTTTTTTCACCCTAAAAGTATTACAGCTTTGTATTTTAGTTAAGCCCATGATCCATTTTGAGTTAATTTTTGTGTAACATGTGATGTGTAGACTGAGGTTCATTTTTTTTGCCTATGGATGTCCAACTGCTCTGTATCATTTGTTGAAAATGCTATCTTTCCTCCACTAAATGCTTTTGCACCTTTGTCAAAAATCAGCCCGGCACATTTGTGCGGTCTATTTCTGGGTTCTCTATTCTGTCCCATTGATCTACGTGTCTGTCCTTCTGTCAGTATCACCTGGTCTATGTAATAACTCTTGAAATTGGGTAGACTGATTCCTCCCACTTTAGTCTTTTTAAAAAAAAAAAAAATCAGCTATTCTAGTTCCTGTGCCTTTCATACAAATTTTAGAATAATCTTGTCTAGACAGACAAATAGGTCGGTAGCTGCCATCGCGTTGACTCTGACTCATAGCGACTTCATGTACAACAGAAGGAAACGATGCCCAGGCCTGCATCATCCGCATGGTCACTGGCACGTTTCAGTCCATTGTGGTAGCTATTGTGCCATCTCAGCAAGGGTCTCCCACACTCTCACTGGTCCTCTACTTCACCAAACATGATGTCCTCCTCCAGCGATTGATCCTTCCTGATGACGTGTTCAAAGCAAGCGAGCTGGACAATGTTGTTATTGTGATTCGTAAGGTTTTTGCTGGCTAATTTTTGGAATTAGATCACCAAGCCTTTCTTCCTGTCTTACCCTGGAAGCACTGCTGAAACCTGTCCACCGTGGGTGATCCTGCTGGTATTTGAAATACCCAGCTCCAAGTTGGTGGCTACTAGGCTATAGATGATTAGAGACAGGTAACCTGCAAGTATTTCCTCCATCTGCTTTATTTCAGTGGTTCAAAAGCAGAGGCAGGCAGGGATCAATTTCACAGCAGCAGATATATAGTTACTTGCACTGGACTATTGATAGATTGAAAAAATTCTTTCAGAGACTGGATTATTAACAGACTGATTTGGACAGAAAACATCTAATGCCAAATGACTTTGGAGCTACATTGTTTGTTTGTTTGTTTTTAAAGACTTCAAATGTGAATACATAAGAACATAGTTTCGTAAGGTTCTGGGCAATACTTTTAAAAAATTATATGTGTATTCCTCTCTACATGATAAATATGCATGGATTTGCTTCAAACATAGGATTTCATGTTAATGCTATCCAATGCATTTGTCTCAACTGAAAATTTAAGAATGCAGGGGCTTTGTTTATATTTCCAGGAATAGGAAATGAAATACAAATAGTAACAGAGCTTGAAGAAAACCATCTGAGCATTATTGAGTCTTCTGCATATGTCAGTTCATATTCCAGTCTGCCAATGACAACACAGCCGTTATGAAAAGTCTAACTTACATGTGAAACCAAAATAATGTGAGGGGCCGCCAGGTTCACCTTCACAAAGCATGGGAAATTCCTCCGTGTTTTTTAATACACTGACAGTACTTCCTCTATCGCAGGTTTAAAGATTAAAGATGGAACGGATGTAACCTCTCCACAGAGAATATATCGCACCCATTATTGTAGCATTACGATCTTACAAGAAGCAAAGGATCAGAAGTTAAACAGAAGTCTTAAAAATTTAAAAAAAAAAAAAAAACAGCAGAAATTAAAAAAACTTAACAGAAACCTAGTGAAATCGCCAAGAAAACTGAATAAAATTTTAAAAATCCAAGAGATGGCAAAGGGTAGAAAAAAGGGAAGACAGAGGACTGGACTGATTTAAGAAGTTCAATGTTCAAACAACAAAATTTTTAAAAAGAGAAAATAAAGAAAATGAGGAAATGAAAGTCAAGATCAAAATTAAACTCAGATAAAACTAAAATGTAAAAAACAAAAAATATGTAATCAAAGAAGAAAACAGGCCCAAAGGGTTTTACCACAAAATTCTAGCAAACATTCAAAACACAAAATACATGTTAGATATGACAGATGCCTATGTTACGTGTTGGAGCCCTGATGGCACACTGGTTAAGAGCTCAGCCGCTAACCAAAAGGCTGGCAGTCCAAATCCACCAGCCGCTCCTTGGAAACCCTATGAGGCAGTCTTACTCTGTCCTGTAGGGTCGCTGTGAGTCGGAATCGACTTGACGGCAACAGGTATGTTACGTGTTGTACCTTTTCTGCTGCAATGCCTCGTCCAGGACTTCCTGCTTGTCCTGCAGCATCCGGTGGAGGTGCCTCATCTCCCGCTGGTACTGAGCTGTCTTGCCAGCGAAGTCTTCTTGCTGCTCCATCAGACGGTGACTGATGTCACCCAGCTTCAGGGCTGCCTGCTTCTTGTAGCCCTGGGCGGGAGGCACTGAGTGAGCAAGGAGATGCTGCCTGTGGCCTAGGCTGATTACTCCTCCTACACCCTCCATTTGTATTCCCTACCTACACTTTGGAGTCCTTGGGTGGCTCCAATGCTTAAGCGTTTGGCTACTAACCTACTAACTGAAAGGCTGGCATTAAAAACCCACCCAGAGGTGCCCTGGAAGAAAGGCCTGGTGATTTGCTTCCAAAAGGTCATAGCATGAAAATCCTATGGAGAAGCTCTACTCTGAACGCATAGGTTCACCATAACTCAGAATTGGCTTGACAGCAAGTTTTTTCTTTGCCCACACCTTGGGCTGAAAGAGCCCACTAAGTTGAGTTCATCCTAAATAAGTCTGATCTGGGAGGGCAATTTTGGATCATAAAGGTCATCAAGTGATAAAATAATTTTTGGTACAATAAAACCAAATTTCTAATTTGTATAATGCCTCTTTTTAAATATGCTACAAAATAAAAAACATAAAATATGACCATCAGAGAACAAACTGAATGTTCTTGGAAATGAACTTGCTTTTGCATTGTTTTCTCAGGACGATTTTTATCGTTTGGTCAGCTGGTAAATTGTCAGCAATGTTTTAAACTTACCTAGGAGACCTCCATATAAGAATCCAACAAGGTTTATCGTTCTCCATAGTCAAACAGATGAAAGAGATAAAAGCCTAATTATTTATATCCCTTCTTTTATTTTTATGAACAGAAGTATTTAAGGTTATTAATTTCCCTCTGAGCATTTCTAAAACTGCTGTCACATAGATTCTCATAGACAGTGTTTTTATCACATTTTTTAGAAATTCTGAAAAACAGTTTTATGTCCCCTCTGACCATCGTTTAGTGTGCAGTTCTACTCTTCCAGGTTAAAAAGACGTTTTATTTTCTGATTTTTAAAAATTAATTTCTGGTTTTCATATTTGTGATCAACAAATATCTGCATGATTCCTACTTAAGGGATTTATTGAGATTTTCTTTGCGGCCAATATATAACCAATTTTTGTGGCTGTTCTGTATATATACCTAAAACACAACTTATTAATTGCGTTGTTACACCTTTTATATCCTTACTTATGTTTTAACCTCCTGATATGTCTTAGACCAAGAGAGGTGGATTAATTAGAATTAATTTTTTTTCCCAGTTGCCGTCAAGTCGATTCTCACTCATGGTGACACCATGTGTGTCATGCAGAACTGTATTCCACAGGGTTTCCTTTCCTTTCCTTTTGAAAATAATTTTTTGTTGTTGTTGTTGAGAATATACACAGCAAAACATACACCAATTCAACAGTTTCTACATGTACACTGATTACATTCTTCAAATTGTGCAACCATTCTCACCTTCCTTTTCTGAGTGTTCCTCCCCCATTAACACAAACTCACTGCCCCCTAAGGTTCCTATCTAATCTTTCGAGTTGCTGCTGTCAATCTGATCCCATATACATAGTTCTTAAAAGAGCATAATGATCAAGCAGACCCTTTTTTACTAGTTAAGGAAAACTACTGTTTGGTTTTAAGGAGACATCAGAGGATAGATTTGGTTTAAGGTTTAAAGATTATCACAGAGCAATAGTTTCAGGGGTTCATCTATCCTCCATGGCTCCAGGAAGCCGGGGGTTGATGAGAATTTAAAATTCTGTTCTGCATTTTCCCCTTTTTGATCAGGATTCTTCTATGGAATCTTTGATCAGAATGTTCAGTAGTGGTAGCCGGGCACCATCCAGTTCTGGTCTCATGGCAAAGGAGGCAGTTGTTCATGGAGGCAATTAGTCACACATTCCATATCCTCCTCCTATTCCTGACTCCTCTTCCTCTATTGCTCCAGGTGAAAAGACACCAATTGTTGTGCCATGGATGTCCGTTTGCAAGCTTTTGAGACCCCAGGCGCTACCTGATGAACTAGGAGGTAGAACAGAAGCACTAAACAGATTATTAGGCCAACAAACTGGAATGTCCCATGAAACCATGACCCTAAACCTCCAAACCAAGGAACCAAATCCCACGAGGTGTTCAGCTGTACATAAGCAGCAGCTACTCTCTCTCTCCCTTCTTTTTTTTAATTGTCATTGTTGTAAATATATCAATGACACAATTTTTGCCAGTCCAACTTTTTACGGGTATACAATTTATTGACAGAATTATAATCATTGGCTGTACAACCCTACCCTTAATCAATGGAATTTTTCCATCATCGTTAACCCTCCCTTTCCCCATTCCTCCCACCCTGGTAACCACTAATAAACTCTGATCTCTATATATTTGCCTTTTGTCTTTTTATATAAGCGAGGTCATTCAATGTTTATCCTTTTGTGATTGACTTATTTCACTCAGCATGTCTTCCAGCTCCATCCACACTGTAGCATGTATCAAGACTTCATTTCTCCTACTGGCTGAGTAGTATTCCATTGTATGTATGTACCATTTTGCTTATCCATCCATCCGTTGATGGGTATTAGGTTGTTTCCACTTTTTGGCTATTGTGACTTCTGCCTTTTTGCTGTTTTTTGTGTGTCTTAAGCCTTCTCTGTCTTTGTCCTTTAGTACAATTTGCTTTTGTGTTTTGTTGGTTTATCGTAGTGAGCCTTTTTGGTTCCCTTCTTTCCTTTTGTGTATGTTTTTTTATATATTTTCTTAGTGGTTACCATGAATATTATATTTAAGTGCTTGAATTTATAACATTTTAAGGTAGGTTGGTACCAACTTAACTTCAGTAACATAGAAGAAATTCTGTATCAATACCATTCCTCTCCCCTCTTTTGTTGTTGTTATCACTAATTACATCTTTATATATCACGTGCCCTGTAACATGATTTTATTCTTGCCTTTTATATATTTCTTATTAAAAAACGTGAAGGACAAAATATTTAGAATTATCAAGCATGAATACCTTTTGACTAGCCCCTAACCTTGTCCATGCAGTTCCCTTTATTAGGTATCTTTCTTTTTATATATAGCTTTGAATTACTTTCCAGTGTCTTTTCCCTTCAATCTACAGAACTATTATTAGCATTTTTTGTAGGGCTGGTCTGGTGGATAGGAACTCTCTCAGCTTCTGTTTGTCTGGGAATATTTTAATTTTATCCTCATTCTTGAAGGATAGTTTCACTGGGTATAGTATTCTTGGCCGACAGTTTTTTCCTTCAGTACTTTAAATATATCATTCCACTGCCTTCTGGCCTCCAATGTTTCTGAGGAGAAACCTGCACTTAATCTTATTGACGATCCTTTGTGTGTGAATGTTTGCTTCTCTTTCACTGCTTTCAGGATTCTCTATCTCTAATTTTGACAGTATAACTATGATGTATCTTGATGTAGATCTCTTTGGGTTTATCCTGCTTGGGGTTCTTTGAGCTTCTTGGATGTGTAGCTTCATGTCCTTCATTAGATTGAGGAGATTTTCTGTCATTATTTCTTCAAATATTCTTTCTGTCCCTTTTCTCATCTCCTGGAATTTCCATGATGCGTATATTATGTCTCTTGCTCTCCCATAATTCCACTAAACTGTGCTCAGCCTTCTTGAGCCCCCATTCTTGTTGCTCCTCAGTATCTGTAATTTTAACTATCTTATCCTCTAATTGGACCCTGGTGGTACAATGGTTAAAAGCTCAGCTGCTAACCAAGGCTGGCAGTTCAAATCCACCAGCTCCTTCTTGGAAACCCTGTGGAACAGTTTTACTCTGTCCTATAGGGTGGCTATGAGTCAGAATCAACTCAACGGCAACAGGTTTTTGTTTTTTGTTTTTTTTTATCCTCTAATTTGCTGATTCTTTCTTCTGCCTGATTAAATCTGTTGATAAGTGTTATGGTTTGAATTGTGTCCCCACAAAATGTGTGTCAACTTGACTGGCTAGTCCATGATTCCCAGTATTGTGCGACTGTCTTCCATTTTGTTATCTGATGTGATTTTCCTATGTGTTGTAAAATCCTACCTCTATGCTGTTAATGAGGCAGGATTAGAAGCAGTTATGTTAATGAGGCAGGACTCAATCTACAAGATTAGGTTGTGTCTTAAGTCAATCTCTTTTGATACAAAAGAGAGAAGCAGCAGAAAGACATGGGGACCTCATACCACCAAGAAACAAGAGCTAGAAGAATAGCACATCCTTTGGACCTGGGGTCCTTGTGCTGAGAAGCTCCTCGACCAGGGAAGATTGATGACAAGGATCTTCCCCTAGAGCCAACAGAGAGGGAAAGCCTTCCTCTGGAGCTGGCACCTTGAATTCAGACTTCTAGCTTCCTAGACTGTGAGAGAATAAATTTCTCTTTGTTAAAGCCATGCACTTGTGGTATTTCTGTTATAGCAGCACTAGATAACTAAGACAGTAAGTCCCTCTATTGTGATTTTCATTTAAGTTATTGTCAATTTCAGTTGCAATATCTCTTTTTTTCAGTCCTCATTTGGTTCTTGCATTGTTTTCCTTATTTCTTTTAGCTCTTTGTCTCTGTTTTCCCTTAGTTCTTTAATTACATTTAATGTTACTGTATTGTAGTCTTCCATTTTTTCCATTATTTGGTCATCCCTAGATGTGCTTTCACTCCCTTTGTCATGTTCATTTGGATGGGCCATTGTGTCTCTGTTCTTTGTCTGTCTTGTGATTTTTTTTGTTGGGGCACTGGAATTTTTGAGGGTGTTAACTTTCTCAGCTTTCCCCAGTATTTGGTGTTTTTACCCACACTACTTTCTGCAAGAAACATTTAGGTGGGCAGAGTCGTTGGCCTATCCCTACCATTTCCTCTCCCTCTCTGTTATAGCTCTGTCTCACTCCCTGGTTTAACTGGGACTTGAAAGTTCCAAGTCTTGTTGTCAACCTTCAATCTCCCAAACACACCAGAGAACACGCTGTGGTCAGTCTGTCCACTAGCGGGCACCACCACTCAGGTGAGATAACATGTACTAATCAATCTGTCCACCATGGGGTGTAGTCCTTCCTCTCTGGTTATTACTCCCTTCCCTTCTCTGTTTCTGTAATCAGGTTTTTAGTCAGAAAACCCACACCCAGTAAGCCCTCTTTGGGGCTAGGTGTTGCCCTCTGGTTTTGCCTAAGGTTTCCTTCCCTGCTCTCTGGGGGCTGCTTATATCTGAGCTGGCTTTCAGGGGAAGCATAGGCAGACAGTCCTCTGTTTCAGGAAAGGAGGGGCTGACATTCCCCAGAAGGACCACTGAGAGATCTGCCTTCTTGGCTTCAGAGCCCCATTGGCGCTGTGGTGATTGAGGGAACAGTCTCCACTTAGGTGACCCACCCCAGCTGCACTGTAGGGGACCTTCTCAAGGAGTTCGTATCAGACCAGCAGCCGACAGTTAATAGTTGGGGGAGGGGTCGTCACACTCCAAACAGACTCTCAAGAAGGTCTGCCTTGTTGTTATCAGAGCCCGCCCTGTAGTATGCTGGCTGTGGGTGTGGCCTCTGTTCAAGATGCCTGCTTCCTAGCACACAGCAGCCTTAGTCATCATTCCTCAGCGCCAACCAGAAGGGGAAGCAGACAGACCCAAGCTGATCCCCAGGGAGGTCTGTCCTGTTGGTTTCAGAGGTCTGAGCTATGGAGTGCACAGGGAGTCAGATAGAGTGCTCATTATGGGAGCAGACTCCACTCCAGAAGCCTTCTGTAGCAGTTTGCAACCCCCTGGCAACCAACAGTTACCAGGTGGGGGAGGGGGTGTCAGGCTCCAGTTAGATCCCCACAGCGGTCTGCCTTGTTGCTATCAGTATCCTCCCAGTAGATTGCTGGCTGTGAATGCAGCCTCCACTCAAGATGCCTGCTTCCTAGCACACAGCAGCCTTAGACATCAGTCAGCAGTGCCAATCAGAAGTAGGGGCAAACTAACCCAACCTGACCCCCAGGGAGGTTTGCCCTGTTGGTTTCAGAGGTCTGAGTTATGGGGTGCCTAGAGAGGCAGGTAGAGTGCTGACTATGGGAGCAGACTCTCTCCAGGTGGGGGAGGGGTTGTTATGCTCTGAATGGACCCCCAGGCAGGTGTGTCTTCTTGCTATCTGAGCCCCCCTTGTAGTATGTTGGCTGTGGGTGTAGCCTCCGGTTAAGATGACTGCTTCGTAGTACACAGGAGCCTCAGTCAGCAGTCTTCAGCATCAACCAGAAGGGGGAGCAGACAGCCCCAAACTGACTCCGCAGGAGATCTCTCCTGTTGATTTCAAAGGCCTGAGCTATGGGGGATGCAGGGAGGCAGGTAGAGTGTTGACTATGAGAGCAGACTCCACTGCAGGAGGCCTTCTGTAGCAATTCATAGTAGGCTTGCAGCCAACAGTGTCCAGGTGGGGGAGGTGCTGGCACAGTCCAAATGGACCCCTGGGAAGATCTGCCTTGCTGATTTTAGAGAAGAAGCTTGGAGTCCTGTCTCTATACAGGCAAGGGGTGTGGTGGTTAGAAAAACAGGCTCTTTTTCTGGGGCCACTTCTCCAGTTCATAGCAGCTGGTGCCCTGTGTGGCTCGGGGGAGGGGCAGGGACAGTGGGAGAAGCTGTTTTCCTACCATATGCAACTTGTTGATTCATTGATTCTGCCTGTTTGCATTTCCCTGCTGCTTTCCTCTGCTCTCCAATTCACAGTCCCTCAAAGCCTCGCTGCTGCTTTGTTGTATTTCTTGTTGTATCCTTGTGGGGGAGGGTCGGAATGATGGTCTGTTTATGCTGCCATCTTCCCAGAATTCTCCCTCCATAGAGTTTTCAATGTCTGACTTTTTGGAAGTAGATAACCAGGCTTTTTTTCCAAGGCACCTCTGGGTGGACTCAAATCCCCAGCCTTTCAGTTAGCAAGTGAGGACACACATTTGGGTCTGAGGAACTTTAAGATAAATTTTGTTTCATTTAACTTTTTAAGAATAAATAATTCAGAAATAAACCTTTTATTTCCTAAAATAAAACAAACTCCCTACATACCTTTACTCATACATATACTGTTTAGCCAATACCATGAGTATTTACACACAGTCAACCAATGTTTAGCTTTTCTTTCATTAGTTCAATATTCCAACATATGAAATATCATCCATTTATTTCTCCACTATCAGGTCCCTTTAATTATTGTTCTATACACACATGCACTTGAGCCCAGAGGTCCTGGATCTTATCTGCATTATCGGATGCCCTCCACGCATGCCCTCACAGTACCTTCCCCTCTAAACTCCACAGGTTCCCAGCCCCCCACTCAGGCCTCTAAGCCTACTGCTTCTGTCTCTGCCCCTACCCCAATAAAAGCTACTCTGACTGGCAGGGCTGTGAATGCATGCTGGGAGTCTGCAGTCTACAAGGATTATGGAGGTCACATGAGGAAGGTGGCTCAAAGGAGGAGAGCAGCTACAATGAGAGTAGTTTTCTTGGGCACAGAAATTGGAGAATGAAGTCACAATTAAGCCAAGACAGAAGCTGGTCAATACTTCTCTCCAGCTGAACAAACAAATGCTGGGCTTGACAATATAGCCTGCAGACTTTTCCATATACATATTATTATTATTATTATTATTATTTACAGCAGCATAGTATTCTATGGTGGGGATTATTCATAATTTATTAAATGAGTTGAGAGGTGCTATTTCTGCCAATGAACGCTTATACTGCTTTGTTCTGATTAGTGACAACTCTCAGGCAAAATGTGTCATTTTCTTAAACACAGAAATCTGTACACCGCAGGCCTTCATTCCCATTTGAAAATGGAATCTCCGAGGCTAACTAATGACTACTTACCTTGACTTTTTCCTTTAATTTTCCCAAGCGAATATTGCCTTCTATTATTTTGTTGAGAACTCCATGCTTCTCGCTTTCTAAACATTTAGCCTAAGTAGAAAGGCAAAGAGAAGAATAATGCACTCTTCGTTTTACAGAAAAGGTAAAATAATAAAAAATTCTTCTTCGAAGAGTATTACTACTCATAAATTATCTCCACCCTGCCACTTGTCTTGGCCTACCTGTACCCATCCCTCCTTGACTCCTTGTGTGTGGGCAGAGCTGTGGCCCGCATCTCGGGGGGGGTGGTCAAGAGCAGGGAACAGCACCCTGAGTGCCCCTCCTGGGCACAAATGGAAGATCTAGCCCCACGGACAAGGGGGAAGTGAACGATTGTTAAGGCTTCTAGAACACTTCTCTGTTTTTATGGGAAATAAGTGCCAAGATGCAAATAAACTTTTTAACTTGAGTAATTTCCATGATTACAAAATTAAGGATAACTGAATATGAAATACATTAATGTATAATGCTGCTTTCCATACCAAACGCGACGGGCAGTATGTCCAAGACAGATGTCACTTGAACCTGAGTAATTCAGATTAATATCCAGATGGAAAATGAACTACTACACATTATAAATTACCTATTTCAAATGCTAAAATTAAAGAGTAGGAAAAAAAAAAAAGGTAAAGATGAACATTCCTTTTAAGGTAGGCTGGTGGTAACAATTTTCATTTTTCCAGAAAGAAATGTAAGACGAGAGTTAAATGATTTGCCACAAATCACAAGGAAAATCCATACTAGATACAGGTTTAGAAATTAAGATGTCAGTGTCTAAGGCTATTGTGTCTCCTACAGAAATGGGATTAGTGAAAGATAGTGAACTAGTATTTGGGGAATTTTAAAGTTATTTGTGGTCGTAGGGCCGAACCTATCAGCTGCTCCGCGGGAGAAAAGACCTGGTGATCTGCTCCCGTAAAGATTAAAGCCTTAGAAACCCTATGGGGCAGTTCTACTCTGTCCTATAGGGTTGCTATGAGCTGGAATCAACTCAATGGCAACTAACAGCAACAACTAAGTTATTTGCAGCCATAGGTAAGCAGTAAAAATTTCCCAAGGTTGAACAGAGTGGCATCCCTCCCTGAGTGTGGGTGTGTGTGTAGGGGAGCGCTCACAAGACCCAGAAGATCAGGATAGGGTGAGGCAAGTATACACAGCCCACAGTCTCAGGGCAGGGCACAGATGGCAGAAGCAGCCAATACCACCCTGGACGGAGGCTAGCCTGGCCATGGTGCTCCCTGGGGCAAGGAGCTTGCAGAGCATGTCCAGGGTAGGACATGCCTACCCCAGGCCTGGTCCAGAGTCCCCTGCCCAGATGTCCTGGTAGTTCTCTGCATGGTGCGTGGTCAAGAATTACCTTAAAAAAAACAATTTGGCCTTTTTCCTTGGTTTCTGAGAAATAACTCTTGGAATTTCCTGAGTAACTGAGGTGCCTTTATTATTTAAAACCTCCAGACTACCAGAGCATTTGTGCTAATGAGTGGGGGCTGGCCAGAGCACAAAGACCACCTGGTAGCAATTAACCTCGGGAGGCATATGCAAGGAGGCCTCAATCATGACTAGTGATGCCTCAATCACGACTTGTATTGATGTCTCAGTCATGACATAGTGATGATTAAGGCCAATAAAGGCTCTGAACACAGAGGCTCTAAGAGCTTCCTGGTTGGCAAAGGCAAGAGGACATGCCCTCTTTGGGATATGGAAGCTCCATGTTGGGAACTCTCCCAGATCTCACCATGTGTCTGTCTCTTCCTTATGATCCTGATTTGTATCCTTTTTGTATAATAAATCTGTAATCATTAGTAATTTCTGTGAGTTCTGTGAGTCAGTCCAGTGAATTATCAAACCAAAGGAGTAGTGGGAGACAGCGGGTGAAAGTGATGGAGCTCAGGGGAAGCTGGCATCCTGAAGGGGAGTGGGAAAACCCCAAATCTGTGGCCAGAAGGTCAGAAGTCAGGGTATCATGCGGACTCCTGAGTTTGCGGTTATCATCTGCCTATTTGGCAGTCTGAAGGACAGTGTCCTTTCAATTTGTGAGCTCTGACCTAGCTCCAGATGGCTAGGGGCAAAGAGAGAGAGTGTGCTGTGTGGGCAGCTGGTGTCAGAGATGACTGAGAAGTGGGAAAGTGGTGATATGATTAATCTTCACATTTTGGGGACTGGGTTTATGTTCTTATTCACGAATATGGACAGTGGTGGGGGACTGAGAAGTGAGATAAGGGCCGCTCCCTCCAGGTCCTATATTTCAACTGTGACTCTGAGGGGTCTGAGAATTCAGAACTCAAGTCTGGCTTTGAGCCATCACACAGGTCGACGCAGAAGGAGGCAACACATTTTATTAACAGTCTGTTGGCTTGATTTCTAACTTTTAAATATTTGGTCACACAGTACATAGGCCTCCATTTGTATTTCCATCGGGCCCCACAAATATGAGGGGTGGGCTGAAGAGGGGCTGTGTGGGGTCAAAGAGGTTCTGGACCTCATCACTGAAGCCTGTGATGCTCTCCAGCCCACATGGGAGGTTCAGGGCCTGCACCCCAGGGATGAGGAAACCTGCATGTCCTGCTCATGCCCCTGACACAAAATGGCTTTGTATTTACAGTGGCACTGACAGCTGGCAGGCAGGTCACGTGAATGTTTGCCAGATAAATGGGTTTGTTTGGCACTTTACATTTTTCAAAAAGCCTTTGCTTTGCCTTCTCAATCCCTGTGGGTAAACCCAAGAGACCCAACAGGGGAGGAAATGGGCACTCAGCAGTGCTACAGAAAATGTCAGTGACCCTAAGGAATTTAACATTTTTGTTGGGAACAGTAACTTCTTGGGAAGGGGACTGTTGGGTCAGAAGGTCTGAATGCTTTTAAGGCTCCTAACATGCTGTGTCAAATTGCTTTCTAGAAGACTCAAGGAAGGACTTAGAAACCACCAGTAGTATGTGACCAGGCTTACCACATTCCCATCAGCAACTATAATAATAATAATAAAAATATGTAACATTAGTGTAAGTACAAGGCTGGTATAATTTGCATTTCTTTTATCACAAATTCCCCCACCCCCAAGAACTATGTACTGTTTATATTTCCTTTTATATAATCAAGAATAAAATCCTCTGTCCATTTTTCTGTGGAGGAATTTAATATCTTTTTAAAAAATAGGAATAGTCTTGTGACATATCCTGACAGAGTCCCCATACCTCCTTCACCCCAAAGAAGGGCCAAGTTACTTCCAAGTTTGTCAGTTTCTCAGACTCTCTTAGAAAAGCCTACTTCTTTCCTGGAGAGTATGGCCCCCAGACACCCTTTTAACTCAGTACTGAAGTGACTCCTGAAGTTCACCCTTCAGCCAAAGACTAGACAGGCCTATAAAGCAAACAATAATACATGCAGCTCAACCACGATCACGACACTAAATGGGCACACCAGCCCAGGGGCAAGAATGAGAGGGCAGGAGGGGGCAGGAAAGCTGGATGAATGGAAGTGGGGAACTTGAAGTTGAGAAGGGGAGAGTGCTGACATACCACAGGGTTGGTGACCAATGTCATGAAACAGTATGTGTATTAACTGTTTAATGAGAAACTAATTTGCTCTGTAAACTTTCACCTAAAGCACAATTAAAAAAAAAAAGTCTACTGATTTCTTTTGTAATGACATCCATTAAACTATTATTTTTAATGTGATATTACCAGACATTTGTAAAGTTGTTTAAATAAACATGTTTAAATATACATCAGCAATATGTTTTCAATGCAGAAAAATAATAAAGATAAATAAAAATATTTTTAAAAAATTAGCTCTTATCCACCACTTAGACAACTCACCATTAACATTCTGGAGTAAATCCTATCAGACTTTTGTCAATAGTATAAATGTGTACCCATGTACATATGTACTGATTTGATAATCTGTCTTCTTTCACCCCACAATATGCTGTATATGTACAGATGTCTGGAATGATGTCAACAGCAACAGTCTTGATGGCTGTGTAGTGCTCTATCATCTAGGTCCACCAATAATTCATTCCATCAATTCCCTACCCTGGGACTAGTGCCATTATAAACAATGCTGGGATGAATATTACTGTACCTTTGTCTTTGTGCCCATTTAAAGTATTTCCTTAGGATGGACTCTATTTAGCCTCTCTATAATTCTTCTGTTTGATCCTCAAACTGGGAAAATATTAGACAACTTCCCAGAAAGAATAAAAAGGTATGTTTGTAGGTATAATCCATGCCTTGATGCCTACTGTTCCTTCTTAGTTAAATAAACCAATTACACTATTTTATCTTTTCAAATATCATTTGACATTATTTTAAGAGTTTGAGTTAATTACTAAACATGAAAGGCTTTTTCCCCATGATGAAAAGATAAAGTTCCGGGGAATTGGAAAATTCGTGGTAGAAATTTAAAAGGATGAGGGTTTTATGGATCCATTTTTTAAAAAATATTCTTAAAATGATAATGTTTGTGTATTAAGTTGTAGTTTACTTGAAGTAACTTTGAGAAAACTTACCAAATACATGAGATTGTCACGTTCCTGAGTTATATTCTCTGCCAGTCCAACAAGATTTGCCAAGTACTGGCGAGCAGACATCTCGTTGTCCATGGCTTTTTCCACCTGCTTTTTGAGGACATCAATTTTCTTCTGAGATCTCCTATAGCGTTCCCCCAAATGGTGGAATAAAAAATTCATTAGCCTGAATGGCTAGGGCATAGTGAATATCTGTATTATAAAAATATCAAGTATGTTAGTACTTAAATGTTATTCTTCAACAATCTAAATCTTCTACTAAGTTTGAAGATGAGAAGAGGTAATTGAATTGAATTTTAAACCAAGCATAATTATTGACTCCAAAAAACCAAAACAAACCCGTTGCCATTGAGTCGATTCCAATTCATAATGAACGTACAGGACAGAGTAGAACTGCCCCCATAGAGTTTCCAAGGAGCGCCTGGTGAATTCAAACTGCCAACCTTTTGGTTAGCAGCCAAGCTCTGAACCACTGTACCACCAGGGCTCCATTACTGACTCCAAATCACATCAACATGAATCACACATGCTTAATCAATTAATAGGCTAATTATATATTATTTTATTAATTTTTTTGGCTCATGTTCTAAAAGATACTATTGAAAAAGAGATCCTGTAATCCCAAAGTAAGGAGCTATGGTGGTGCAGTGGTTAAGTGCTCAGCTGCTAACTGAAAGGTTGCCAGCAGATTGAACCCATCAGCCATTCTGTGGAGAAAGACGTGGCAGTCTGCTTTTGTAAAGATTACAGCCTTGGGCAGTTCTACTGTGGCCCATACAGTCACTATGGGTCGGAATCAACTCGACAGCAATGGGTTTGTTTTTTTGGTTTGGGTAATCCCAAAGTAGGTTTTTGGGAAATAGTTAGGAATGCACTTTTAGAACTTTCAGAGTCTTAGGGTTATCATCATGACTATCAATAATCTTTGAACTACAGACTTGAAAAATGTTGGTCCACAGAAAAGTTCTTATTACACTTTTATTTGGCTATCCAACGATCTCAATTACCCGTTTCCATTTTACAACACTATTAGAAAAACAAAAGATAAAGGAAATGAAATAGAACATTCTCCAGTTGTCTTTCTTATAAAGTATATTTAAAAAAATAAGCTTAAGGAAAAAATAACAAACCTATTTATTTTCTGTGCCATTTCAAGTTCAGCTTCCAGGGCTTTGTTTTTAACCATCAAATTGTTCTTCTCTAAAAGCCAGCTCTTTTTCTGTACTTGCAGGACCGTCAACTTTTCCATCAACTCTTCCATCTCAGCACTTCCTTTCTCTTCTTCCTTCTGCAGCTGGCTGAAGGAGAAAAACATCAAGGCATGTAACCAGTACATGGAGGCTTACATAAGGCAGTCATTGCCAGACAAGCGATAAACATCCTGGCCCTCGGCCCTTCGTGGATCATTCGGAAGACCTCTGAGGAAACTTCTCCCCACCCAGGATGGAGCTCCTACAGGACAGGAGAGAGTGTGCCGCATCTTCTTTGATGGCATCGGCCCTCTAAGCCCTGCTTTTGCCCACAGTTTTTGCTTGCGTTTGTGCATATATATTTTGTTGTTGCCGTCAGGTACTGTTGAGTTGGCTCCAACTCATAGTGACCCTAATTACTTCCAGAAAGAATTTAAGACAGCTTAATTTCTGTAACTGTCAAAAAATCCTAATGGTAAAACAAAATTTATTTCATAATAATATATGTTTTATGATAAAAGAATGCACTCCCCAAAAAAACCGGGGGGGACATATAATTTCAATATGTAATTCTGACAAAACGATGCTTAATAAATGAGCTGTCTCTTCACTGGTTTTCTCAATTTTCATGCAATCACCAGGACTCAGTAGGCAGGACCACGGACACAGAGGTTGCCTAACATTCTGAGAGATGTGGTCTCTCTGGGGACCACATGAGGTTTACTCCTTGGCTTGCCGGCGAGCAAGGCTCAGGTTGCGTGTTTGTGGTCCTCGTCACTTCTCTCATTTCAATGAGCTCAAACTACAGTGGCTCCCTGAGCACCCAGTTAGCAATTTTCCAGGTAGCTTCCATTGCTTTCTGGTTTACTGTGAGCCCTACCAGTACAAGTTAGTCACAGAGCAGAGGACACTCCTGGGCAAAAATCACAGGATGGAGGCTTCAATTAAATTCACCTTTTGTCTTTTTCCTTTACTGCCCTTTGTTTTTATTTTAGAATTTTATTTAAAAGTATTTTTGCCTAAGTAATAAACCCACCTGGTACCAAATCGACCAGTACAGAAAAGTTCATGATGAAAAGCAACCAAAGACATTCGGGGGTTGTGAAAGTGTTGTTAAGAGTTTGCAGCCATCTCAGAGAGCAATATGAAAATCTAGAAATGCATTCACTCTACGGCTCAACACTGCCACTTCTAGGTATGTGTTCTAGGGAATCTTTTGCAGATTTGCAAGAGATGACACATACAAGAGAGCTTTGCAGCATTGTTGATAGGAACAAACTTAAAAATAGCTTCAACTTCCATCAATAGACTAAGTAATATGCAGTCTTTGTATGACAGAATACTACCATGCAGCAGTTAAAAAGAATAAACCATATATCCATCTCAACATGAAAAGATGTTTTGAAAACTGAGTGAAAAAAAAATCAAGATGCGTAACGTACTTAAGATATGAATTCATTTAATAAACTTCAGATATGTCAAAAAATACTATACGCTATTCATGTAAAAATAAAAAAAATAGATTGGAAAAATAATTCCAAATTTATAATAAGGTTTGCTTTTGGCAAGCGACGAAAAATAGATATCCCTTACCATTAAGGAAGTTCACATCTATTCTTAATATTTTTGTTTAGAGTTTTTACGTCAAGGCTTATCAGTGAAATTTAACAGTAACTTTGGGCTTTGGTATCAAGGTTATATTAGCCTCACGAAATGAGTTAGGGAGCATTCACTCATTTTCCGTTCTCTAGAATGGTTTTCACCACTCGTCTTTCAGTTTGTCATACTGTGGTGGCTTGCATGTTGCTGTGATGCTGGAAGCTATGCCACCGGTATTTCAAATACCAGGTAGGTTACCCATGGTGGACAGGTTTCAGTAAAGCTTTCAGACTAAGACAAACTAGGAAGAAGGACCTGGTGATCTGCTTCTAAAAAAACTGGCCAGTGAACAAGGTCATGGAAGCTCCACAGACAAAACCAAACGCCCTGAGGGACCGAATTACTGGGCGGAGGGCTTTGGGAGCCATGGTCTCAGGGAACATCTAGCTCAACTGGCATAACACAGTTAACAAAGAAAATGTTCTACATTCTACTTTGGTGAGTAGCGTCTGGAGTCTTAAAAGCCTGTGAGTATCTAAGATACTCCACTGGTCTCACCCCTTCAGAAGCAAGGGAGAATTAAGAAAACTAAACATACAAGGGAAAGATTAGTCCAAAGGACTAATGGACCACAACTACCATGGCTTCCACCCAACTGAGTCCACTACAACTGGATGGTGCCTGGCTACCACCACTGACTGTTCTGACAGGGATCACAACAGAGGGTCCTGGACAGAGCTGGAGGAAAATGTAGAACAAAATTCTAACTCACAAAAAAAGACCAGACTTACTGGCCAGACAGAGACTGGAGAAAACCTGAGAGAATGGCCCCTGGACACCCTTTTAGCTCAGTAATGAAGTCACTCCAGAGGTTCACCCTTTAGCCAAAGACTAGACAGGTACATAAAACAAAACGAGACTAAAGGGGCACACAAGCCCAGGGGCAAGGACTAGAAGGCAGGAGGGGACAGGGAAGCTGCTAATAGGGAGCCCAAGGTCGAGAAGGGAGAGTGCTGATGTGCGTAGGGTTGTTGACTAATGTCAAACAACAATATGTGTACTAACTGTTTAATGAGAAGCTACTTTGTTCTGTAAATCTTCATCTAAATACAATTAAAAAAAAGAAAAAACCCGGTGAGGAGGGTGGGGAGGAATTGGCCAGTGAAAACCTTATGAATAGCAGTGGAACATATTCTGATACAATGCTGGAAGATGAGCCCCTCAGGTTGGAAGGCACTCAGAATACGACAGGGAAAGGGCTGCCTCCTCAAAGTGGAGTCGACCTTAATGATGTGGATGGAGTCAAGCTTTCTGACCTTCATTTGCTAATGTGGCATGACTCAAAATGAGAAGAAACAGCTGCAAACATTCATTAATAATTGGAATGTGGAATGTATGAAGTATGAATCTAGGAAAATTGGAAGTCATCAAAAATGAAATGGAGTGCATAAAGATTGATAGCCTAGGCATTAGTGAGGTGAAATGGACTGGTATTGGCCATTTTGAATTGGACAATCATATAGTCTACTATGCCAGGAATGACAAATTGAAGAGGAATGGCATTGCATTCATTGTCAAAAAGAACATTTCAAGATCTATCCTGAAGTACAATGTGATCAGTGATAGGGTAATATCCATACACCTACAAGGAAGACCAGTTAATACAACTAGTATTCAAATTTACGCACCAATCACTAATGCCAAAGATGAAGAAATTGAAGATTTTTGCCAACTTCTGCAGTCCAAAATTGATTAAACATGCAACCAAGATGAATTGATAATTACTGGTGATTGGAATGCAAAAGTTGGAGACACAGAAGAAGGATTGGTAATTGGAAAATATGGCCTTGGTGATAGGAATGATACTGGAGATCGCATGATAGAATTTTGCAAGACGAATGACTTATTCATTGCAAATACCTTTTTCAATAACATAAACGGCGACTATTCACGTGGACCTCACTGGATGGAATACACAGGAATCAAATTGACTATGTCTGTGGAAAGAGACGATGGAGAAGCTCAATATCATCAGTCAGAAAAAGGCGAGGGGTGACTGTGAAACAGACCATCAATTGCTCATATACAAGGTCAAGTTGAAGTTGAAGAAAATTAAAATAAGTCCACAAAAGCCAATGTACGACCTTGGGTATATCCCACCTGAATTTAGAGACCATCTGAAGAAGAGATTTGATGCATTGAACACTAATGGCCAAAGACCAGACGAGTTGTGGGATAACATCAAGGACATCATACATGAAGAAAGCAAAAGGTCATTAAAAAGACAGGAAAGAAAGAAAAGACCAAAATGGATGTCAGAAGAGACTCTAAAACTTGCTCCTGAACACAGAGTAGCTAAAGCAAATGGAAGAAATGACGAAGTAAAAGAGCTAAACAGAATATTTCAAAGGGTGGCTAGAGAAGACAAAGTAAAGTATTACAATGACATATGTAAAGCCCTGGAGTTAGAAAACCAAAAGGGAAGAATATGCTTGGCTGAAAGAACTGAAGAAAAAAATTCAAGCCTCAAGTTTCAATTCTGAAGGATTCTACGGGCAAGATACTGAATGACATGGGAAGAACAAAGGGAAGACGGATGCTGCTTTTTTTTTTTTTTTTCCCATTATGCCTAGTGATTCTTGTTGTCTGTTCAAATCTGGTCATCTGCTCTTATTTTAGGATTAAGAACTGGGTATGTGGTGTGTATTGTATAAGTAGATTGACTTTCTGCCCTGGAGTCTCCCTGACTGCTAACTGGGACTCTGTGTACATAGATGAGGTATGTGGAGTGGTCAGGTTCAATTTAAGATACAGGCTTATTTATCCAAGTCAGGATAAAGAAGGTCTTCCTTTGTAGAGACCACCATTCGCTCTAAACCCTTAGCTTTGCCCAACAAAGTTTGCTAAATTTCTTTCAAAAAGTGGGTTTATACCCTGTTTTTCTCCAACTACCTATCTTGAGTAGGCTCAACCTATCTAAAACCTGCTGTCATCAAGTTGATTCCGACTCATAGGGCCCCAGTAGGGCAGAAGAGAACTGCCTCATAGCGTTTCCAAGGAGGGGCTGGTGGATTCGAACTGCTGACCTTTGGGTTACCAGCCGAGCTCTTAACCACCATGCCACCAGGGCTCCTCAACCTATCTAGGCAACAGTAAAAGCAAAGAGAGCACTCTAAGCTTCAAGGTGTACTCACCAGTCCAATCATAAGCCAACCGGACAGTTTACTAGGAAAACAGCTTCTGCCATTTCCCATGCCACAGTTCTTTCCAAGCAGGGATGCCAAGAGGTAGAACAACCAAGATAAAATGGATACACAACTCCATAGTTATTATCTACACTGACTTCAACCAGGATAAGAGAAACAAATGCACCATAACTAGAAGCTCTCCAAACACAGGTTCAATTTAACCTTTTTCCTCAGGATCTTATCTTTGCCGGTGGCACAATCTTTCCCAAACTCCTCCCCAGACTTTCCTCCAATGTGGGAGCTAATTAGACAGCTCCTTTT